AGTTCTGCTCCTATAATACTTTATCTTGGGCCTTTATGTCTGGACAATATACTACAGAGGAGAGCAGTGTTGTGTTGGCAGCTCTGTCCAAATGCGATAAGGTATTCTCATTGATCTTAGTGGTGGGCTCTTTTATGTGCACCTGATGGATACTAAACAACACCAATATATGTGTTATTCCACAAACAGCATGCATTTTGTTTTCCTCACAAAATTACTTAAACGATAAATAACTGGGACAAACTTTTTCTGTTAATTAGATATTTTTCTAAGCACAGCCCAAAAAACCAGTAACTTTGGGGCAAAAGAAGTCGCTTATACTCACAAAGGATACAAAAATACAGTAAAAACAGTAATATTGTGAAATATTACAATAATTTACAATATCCATTTTCTATTTTAATATATTTTAAAATGTAATTTATTCTATGACTTTGCAGCAGTCATTATTCCAGTCTTTAGTGTCACATGACCCTTCAGAAATCCTTCTAATATGCTGATTTGGTGCTCATTTCTTGTTAGAATTAAGGTGTTTTGACACACATAAACACACACACATTTTTTAGTATCATGAACTCGAGCACAATGGCTAAAACTGTAAAACTGTCAACCTTGTTATCCTCACACCTGTTACAAATCTCATAGCCATAATCTAACATATACTACAATATATGAATTTATCTTCAGATGGCACAATACAATTTAATAATAACACTCAACGAGATTATTTGATAGAATGTTTCAAATCTGATGGATATTTACTTTAAAAATCACTTTATCAAACTTAAAAAGGCACCCATTTCGCAAAATGACCCATATTTGGCACTATGTAAGTCAACTTATAATAATCACCTTTAGTTTACAATTCATTCGTGGGCTTTATAATTCAGTTGACACTCAGAATCAACACACCCTCAAAAATATCCATACTAATACCAATTTAATGCCCAATCCAAGCAGATCTAGCAATGCCAAATCTATTAAGCAGCCTGTTAGAGTCAAACCATAATCTGAATGAGCCAAACAATCCATGAATGAAACAGCTCTGGTTTCATGAAGTCCTCTAACAAGCTTGTTCGACATGAAATGACATCGTAAGACTCAAGTCCACTCACTCTGTGGCCCCGGTTCCGTTTATAGCGTTCCCGTCTGGAATTGGGTTCAGCTGGATCGGCTCTGGCTTCCTCCTTTTTTGCATGATTAATCCTAATAGCTGGCTTCTCGGCAGTAAAACGAGAAATTCAAACAGGAGCAATCTGATCCGTAGACTACACCAACTCACTCGCCGACAGAGCAGTGATGTATAAGCTATGAATAGCCTATCACACCCTAGCAATCGCTGTTTGCTTTACAATAAATATATAAATAAATAAATAAATAAATAAAGACAGAATGCAGTCAACGACAACCTCGCATGGTCTTCTGACAGGTAGGATGAATGCTGTTTCGAAGATTAGGTTATTCAGAGAAAAACTGAGTGTTTCTAGCGGTGGACGACAGTAGAAGATGGGTACAGAGATTGTCTGTTTACGTCGTGAAAATATTTACATCTGTCTTCCGGACAGCATGACTGGTTATGGACAATGATCCCATCTGCTGGTGTAAATGCGCTATTACGCCGCATTGTTTTTATTAGGCTTGTCTGCTAATTCAAATTCTATATCAATCATATATCAGCATCCAGGCTTTTTATGTCTTTATGTATTTGAATACAGAACTTCTGTTAGATTGCACGTTTTCTACTTCTACAGACCCAGACCCCCAATATCAAAAGCTTGATCATAAAGTTTTATCCTTGGTAAATTCAAACACTTGTTTGTTTATGAATATTCTTCTCTATGGAGTATGGACCCCCTGCAGTACTTTCCCTGGTTGAAAACCCTGGCAATAGATGCTACAGGCCTATAGAAAAATATTAAATGTACTGTTATTCAGGTCTCCATGCAATTTGGAAGTAACTGTCTATTACAAGTTTGAATTGACTTTAAAATGAAAAAAATGAAATGAAGTCCCCGCTGCAAAACAAACATCTCAAGTCCATATAACTTCCATAAAAGTGTCGCTTTAATAGAAACGTAGCAGCCTGTGCCTGTGGTGAAGCATTTACACTGGACTGAATGTATATAATATAATAATCACGTAACCAACACAATGTATTCTGCATTATATTTTGGTCATTGGTCTTACATCATTAACTCCTTAAAATAATGGTTGATTTGTTGCTTTTGTAGCTATTAAGGAACATATTATTTCACATAAAACTTTACAATTTAACCAGTTTAAAATTATATAGAAAGCACATCGTATCTGTTTAGAAAAGTCCTAAACATGTCCATATTGCAATCTCAGTGTCTTGGATCATTTTATTATGCAAGATGGACCAGTAAACCAATTCTGGAATGGTGTAATGAATACAATACAATACTATCCTGAAGAGGAAAAATAAAGATCAAATATCTATTACAAAATGGACACTTATTTAGACCACATTTTGCAGGAAGGGAAACCAGCCCCATTTGGAGATTAAACATAAATTTATACAATTCTTCTCTACACTCCTCAAGGCCTTAAATATGTCTGCAGCTTAGTAAACAGATGCATCTCCTTTGCTCCTTCCAAGTTTCTTTCTCAGCATTTATCTATGTTTATGCTGGAACCAGTCCAGTTATTGTGCTTTGTGGATTTAGCCTAATTACTTATCTCTGCTCATGCCATCCTTTCATCTGCTGTTTTTAGTGCCATTGTGGTTGATATTATTCCTATACTACTATATCTTTTCCTATACTAATATTATTACCATCTGTACTCTGATCATGGAGAATGTCAAATTGAGAATGAATTACTCTAAGGTAAATTGTGCATTACCAGGCCTAGATGGGGAAGTCGTGGCCTAATGGTTAGAGAGTCGAACTTGTAACCCAAAGGTTGCGGATTCGAGTCTCGTACCAGCAGGGATTGTAGGTGGGGGGAGTGAATGTACAGCGCTCTCGCCCACCTTCAATACCACGACTGAGGTGTCCTTTTAGCAAGGCACCGAACCCCCAACAGCTCCCCGGGCGCCGCAGCAAAAAAATGGCTGCCCACTGCTCCGGGTGTGTGTTCACGGTGTGTGTGTGTTCACTGCTGTGTGTGCGCACTTTGGATGGGATAAAAGCAGAGCACTAATTCCGAGTATGGGTCAAAATGCTTGGCCACATGTCACGTCACCTTTAGAAAAATATTAAGCCAACATTTCCAAATAAGAATGTAACTGCATCTATCTTGACTCTCAACAAATCGGCCTTGACAGAGAGATTGTGATGCAGAGTAAAGAGTAAACTATAGCCTTTTCTAACTATAAGCATAATTTATCAGTATCTTACTCGACAATTTGGTGCAACAGGCAGATTTGCTCTGTCAGCTATTCTGATAGCCCCCCCCCCCCCCTGTGATTTCATAAAAAGCAGATCTGGATAATTACAGAATTTCCATTTAGGTATGCAAGAAATCATGTCCTCTTAGGAACATCATATATTAAAATTGAATAGAGTTGTCAAATTACTGATGCATAACGTTGAAAAAAAAAGTAAGCAAAAACAGAAAATTATATTTATGAGCTGAAACTGATTCACTGTAATAAATGGTCTTGTAAGTCATTTTTATTCAAGACATGTTTGGGATCTGTGAAAGACTTTATTTCCACAGAAAATCTAAGATCTTTTATTGTCTGCATTACCCTGTCTTGTGGAGCTAGTAATGGCATATTATAAAGTTATCATGTAGGATCTGTTAAAGGATGAACCTAGGATGGACCTAAATTTTGGCTTTTATTTACTCAGTGCCAACAGACGGATGAAGAAAAAGACTGTTGTGTATTTTGTTATTATCAATAAACATAAGAAAAAATGCTAATATTAAGTTAAAAGGATGGTGCAAAATGACAAGCCCAATCAACAAAATAACCTTAGTAGGCTAGATTTATTTGATCATTTTATGCCACATTAAAGATATTGTGTAAAATAAAATTCATTGTAAAATAATTAAATTATTAAATGTGAAATTTATGAAAACAAAGATTTTGTTATATTGATTAACATCTTTTTACCCACACAGCTGTTTTTCTGCATTCAATGTACATTAAAAGTCAGTATAACACACTAATTTTCAACCCATATTTACTTATGTAATCTAATGTCTAATCTGAAATACAGGTTTTGTACCATGGGGATGGCTAAAAAGTGGTTCCCAATAATTCACAAAAGCATAATAACATACTACTCTTAGGCATATTGTGGCTGTCATGGCTGTCTTTATGGTGGAAATAGTAAGAGTTATTCATTATCCAGTGTATAGTAGGGAAGTACTTATTGCTTACAGTTTTATGAATACTGTTTATTGAATTCAGACATAGGCTACTACTCATTTTACATCATGTTTTTTGCCTAGTAGGGAAGTATGCTCAACATTCCACACTTTGTTTTTTCTTTCGGTCAGTTAAGTATATCATATTTGAAGTACACTTAAAAAATAAAATTCAGTGTGAATGCACTACTCACACTACAAAAATGATAGAAAAATGGAATAGAATAGCCAAACTGGGACGCACCTTACGTGACAGCTGGGTAAATGGGAGGGCTTGCAAAAAAATAAGTGGATTTTGTGACTTCAGTCGTTTCAAAGGCGGCGAAAGTTATTCAAAATTAAATGTTGATGAAAAATCAACATAGCCTACTTTTTTTTCATTAGAACAATTGCTCACAACAGCAGGAATTTGTAAACAGTGAAATTTGATTAATGTTAACTTTGTTATTATTATTTTCACTGCATTTACTAAAAATTGTGGTTTTGCTTAAAGTGTGATACTGAAGTAAAAGTTCACCGAGAACTGTATTTTCTCCAAATAAACGTAGCCTATGAGTTGTTCTCTAAGCGCTTGCAGTTTCAGCACCATGAGCTCTGACGTCACGTGAGTTTAAAACGAGGCCGCGCGAGAGGCAGAAACATTCGGCAACAGTGTCGGTTACAGAGGACGAGGATGAGGCGCAGCGCAACGCTCGGACAGCACTAGCCTGAAAAGGCGAATGGTACAGCGAATTTGATCAAATTCTCTCCAGGACTCTTCTTCATGTAGTCTGCCATAAATTACCTTCGAGAAAGTGGCGAGTTTAATTCCAGAGACGAAGACTATGGACGAACAGCAAGCAGCGACTTTGGATCAGGGAAAGTAAAACAGACCAGGAAAAGGTATGTAGGCTATTTTGTATTTCACTTCTTTAGCCTATAGTAATACACTGTAATCTGCAATAAAATTGTATTCAAAATATTCATGTGTTGCTGAATCTTATACAAGCTGTTCAGTTAACGGGATGAATGTATTGCTGAATTTCTATAGATTTCTATAGCCTATATACAGACGACTTTATAAATGTAGTCTTTGAACATTATTATTCGAGTATAATTTCAGGTGATAGTTAGACTGGTCAATAAAGTTTCATATAGGACATACAGGTTTCATTAATGGTGTCCTTTATACCCTATACATACCATACAAGACATTTACAGTTACAGTTTACATTCTGTAAGCGCGCTAATGGAAGTAACAGTTAAATCAAATGTTCTTGGGAGAAAATTAAGTTATTTTTTATTTTTTTTAATTGATCGCTATTTTTGATCATATATAATTTTAGCTCAGTTTGGGCGACAAGATCGATTGTGTGAGCTGTCAATTTGGCCAACATACATCGCTGCAGTCTATATTTATTTATAAGCGTGGTAGATTTTCTCATATAAAGTTGACGTGTCGTATCCAGTAAAGTTCTTCAGTCAGTTTCTTCATTCAGTCGAGATTTTTTTGCCTCTAATTATTTTAGCTAGGGAAGGACGTTGTCGGAGCTATATGTCAATATAATAAAATAAAATATGCTAACTTAATCTATCCATATTTTATAGAATCTTGCTAACTGAATCTCTTACTAACGTAAGCTAATATTATAATTAATAGTAGCCTATATAATATTACGTTATCAAACCACTCGTAATGTTTTGATGTCTGTGAAACCTTGTCTTACCAACGTAATTTACGTGGATTGTAAATGTAATGCTCTCATTGTAAAACATGAACAGGTATTCCTAAAACGAGTTTATGTATGCTAATGAAGACTGACAAATACGTCATGCATTTACTGAATAGGTGAGTTATTACCAGTTTTTATTTATTTATTTAGATGTTTTTCCATCAAAGGCATAAAGCATTTGAGGGGAGACGACGCACTGGTCGCCCGGAAGCGTCTTCTTTCCATTCATTACTTTTGGATTAGAGTTTTGGGGCCACTAGATGGCTCTGTTGAGCAATTTGACAGCCTCATTGAGACGTTCAGAGCCCCTGTGCATAACTAAACAGATGCGGTCCTGTAAATATAGAAATATAGCAGGTTTAGGTGAAATAGTAGAGTCATTATTTTCCAGCAGCAATATCAGAGACAATATTCCTTTATATAGACAAGAACAACTCTATATAAAATATAATTGGTTAGCCCTGCACTGTTTATTGTCATACAGAAGACTGTTTACATTGATGTATGCTGTTTAGTGGTACATCATTTGTTTCTGATTTGACAGTGTTTATTTTGTAACTTTATTTTTGAAATGTATAGATATGTCTGAGCTTTTCAGGTTGTGAATGAGGCAGTTGCTCTCTCTTGCTGTTAATAACCAAGTTAAATGTCTCATAACATCAGCACTATTGACTTTCTCATTGCAAACTAATGTTATATAGATGAATGACCAATTGACTTGTTCGGCATTGCTGGGAATGCCCACAAAAACGTCATAACCGTTTATGCTGTGGGGGAAAACAAACCATTTGAATTAACGCGCAAAGACCTTGTTAGGCGCTTGATCTTTACTTTTTGTGATGATTTCGATCGATTTTTGCTTGGTGCAATGCCGAAAAGTTGCTGCGTGGCGTTCTGTACCTCTAATAAGTTAAAAAACCTGATCTGAAGATTTATATGCCGAATAAATAGATGGACTACCGGAGGTAACACTGAGCGGGTAGCACACATTATCAGAACTCCGACAGTAGTTATGGATATACAACATATGAAACATATCAAGCTTGATATTCATATTTATATGCACTCCAGATAGGCGACTACTTACCTTGCAATGATCTGTCATTACTCCCGTCCCCCTGCACCGCAAACCCATGCAGTTCTGATGGGGCTTACAGTAACCCTCCTTCACATCACAATCAAATAAATCTCACTCCCTGATGTTCATATTATTATACACAATCCCTTACGAAAATCAGCAATGGTATGACTATAGTAAAAGTATAGTAGGCTAACCATGTTTTTTTGGCATTTTTATTACCAACTGTAGCCTATAACCACAGTTTTACTACAAATATATTTACTATAAATATAAAAATCGAATAATCAGATAGAACGGTTAAATAAAAGGAATTAAAATGTATACAAAGTATATTATTAGTAATAGAAAGTCAAACATTATAATATTTTCTCGTTTGCCGGCCCACAGCTATGACGCAACACCGATCAAGTCTATACCTTTATGATTTAAGATGAAATGCATATTTCTGCTATTTACATTAAAATCAGACGTTATTTTTTTAGTGCTCATCTTCCAAGTGTGCATGACCTGCATTAAGTTCAGAATATGGAGAAACATCATGGGTCTTGTTGCATGTGTGCACAGTTTTGTCTGACTCGCATTTGTTTCTCTGTCTGTCTGGCATATCTAGGGCTGTGTTTGCCTGCATGTTGGTTAGTCGACTTGCCTAGACTGCATTACAGCCATCTGTCAAAAAGTCATAAATGTACTTTACCAGTACAGTAATGCAGCTTTTGTTTCCAGTCTTGAGCTTTTAGCCTAATTAAACAGCATCTGACACAAACAGGGATATGGAGACTTGAATAGATGAAGTGGCTCATGCTGTTGGATTGTAGATGTATTATGTATTAGGATGCTGTGTACTAATCATGAAAGACTTGAGATCGATTGTTTATGGTTCTGTGTTTGTTTGTACGTGACGTCATAAATTATATAAAATGGTTTTTAGTGTTTTACTGCTCTTCAGATTTATACCTCTCTGTCCTATCATTGCCGATGGGCTCACTTTACAAGAGCGATTTGATGGAGCTACATAGGACTTTTCCCCAAGAAAATGTTTTACCTTTGCTTAAACAGGATTAACAACTGAAGTAACATATGTAGGCAACAGATACTTTCTAGTTTTCCATTACCTGTTAAATATTCTGGTGTATGTTTTTTTCCCCCTGATATAAATGTCAGTTTGATATTCATTTAATGTTAATTGCTAGAAAATCTCATAATCACATACATTGTTGTTATAAACTATTTATACTCTTTGATAAAAGGCTTTTAAAATGGCAAGCCTTATATAAAATTAATAGAAAAAAAGCAGCTCATATAATATTTACTTTAACCATTTGAGGCTGAACATTAAGCAAAATGCAGGTTAAAATTAAGGTTAAGCAACTCCTTTTACTTATATTATCATAAAATATGACTTTCAGGCCCTTTTTCACCCTATTTGTGAATTTAAAAAAAAATTCAATTCAGGTTTATTTGTATAGCGCGTTTCATGATACAAATCGTTGCAAAGCAACTTTACAGCAAATTAGGTTTCTACAATATTTAGTGGTAGCTTATCAGTGGTGACTGCCAGTTAATAAACATATGACCGAAATGTACGGAAAAATCAATTAAAGACGTAATCAAACAGACGATGAACACTATTAACAGCAATTATTATATGATGCAATCAAACTTATAGTAAAATGTGGTAGTTCTGCATGTTGTTTCAGGGTTGGCATCATCTGAGGTCCTCTGAGGGGTTGGCATCATCTCTTCTCAGGTGTTCTGGATCCAGACTGAAGCTTGTGTAAATCCTAGTTACCACGGGATGTTAATCCTGTGGCAAAAACAGAGAAACAAATAGAGACATAATTAGCGTAGCTGCTGTTCCAACCAAGCAAAATTGATTTGTTTAACCCAAGCTAAAGAATAATAATGCACATTTGATCAGATATAACTACAGTACATTATATATATTTAAACAGAGAGAGTGTGTCTGAACCCCGAACGTTATCAGGAAGGCTATTCCAGAGGTTGGGAGCCAAATGCGAAAAAGCTCTACGTCCTTTAGTGGATTTTGCTATCCTAGGTACTACCAAAAGTCCAGAGTTTTGCGACCTTAGGGAGCGTGATGGATTGTAGCGTGGTAGAAGACTAGTTAGGTACGCAGGAGCTAACCCATTAAGGGCCTTATAGGTAAGTAATAATATTTTGTAACTGATATGGAACTTAATAGGTAGCCAGTGCAGAGACTGTAAAATTGGGGTAATATGATCATATTTTCTTGACCTGGTAAGGACTCTAGCCACTGCATTTTGGACTACCTGTGTAGCTTGTTTTATGTAAGTTTATTATTAAATGTATGTACGTTTATTATTAAACAGACTGTCTTTGTAAATCATAAAATTATGGGTGAAACAGCAGCCAATTAGAATAAGAATGAATCATTTTCTAAATGGGAATGGGCATATAAAATTGGACTTGAGTTCTGCTGAGTTCGCTTGATTATACATTTCTGGTAATGTTTTTTAAAACATTTTATTTGTTGGTTTGTTCTTTTTTTAAAGCAGGTCAAAATTCAGAGGAAATCAGTCATCTCTTTTGTAGCATGGCATTCAGTATTTCATGTTGTAGTATTCAGTATATGATTTGATGTGAACAGCAATTTATCGATCCGTCAAACCTTGTAACAGAGGACTGACATTAGCTCATAACTATATCTCACAATGTACACATTAACATGTCTTTTAGCAATGGCAATGAAGACAGTGCTCAGTAGAGGAAACCTTCGATGGCATAGTAAGACCTGACCTTTATTCTGCAAATCAAGCTGATTTCTTAATGAGCTGCCCGATAGATGTTATTTTATCCAAAGCGTATTGAACATTGTACACTGAACAAATACCCTGGGGTCATAGTGGGAGCATTAAGAAATGTTAATGAAAAATATAAAGCCATTAGCTGAACCTTCTTGGGTCAGCTTTTGCTCTGTAATTGAAAACGTTGATGTATGTTACTTGTTTTCTCTGATGGCATACACAGAAGGTTTCAGATCAAGGACAGCCAGAGTTTTCTTGATGGGATGGATGGATCTTTTCTCTCATTTCCTTATCGTTGTCTTC